CTTGTAAAATTACCAGCCACTTGGAATGACTATAGAGAGAAATTATTACATTCTTCCGAATACTTTAATGTGGACCAGTTAACAAAGCGTATTCGGATTGAAGAAGAGTCACGAAAACGTGAAAATAAATATGCTGCGGAAACTAGTTCAAAGGTGAATTATGTTGAGTCTAGTAAGGCAAACAATTCAGGAAAATCTGGAAACAAGGCTGGAAAGAAGAGAAAGTTTGAGGCTGCACCAAAGGAAAATTCTTCTAACATTAAGAAAGGTCCTTGTTATACTTGCGAAAAAATGGTCCATTTTAAGAGAGATTGCAGGTTTCGTTAAAGATAGAAAAATGAAGAAAATACTGGACAGAAGAGGGTAAATAATGTTGAACAACAACAAGTTTCTTCTTCGGATATTGTTGCTATGATTTCTGCCTTTACCAACTTGAATCTGAGTATGGCAACTGAATGCAACATGGCAGCAACTATGAAATCTGCAGATTGGTGGTATGATTCCGGTGCTACTGTTCATGTATGCAATGACAAGAGTTTCTTCAAACATTATGAAGTTGCAACAAGTGATGAAAATGTTTTAATGAGAAATCATGACACCGCCAAGGTCTTTGGAAAAGGAACAGTTGACTACAATTCACTTTGGGAAAGAAGTTGATTTTAATTAATGTTCATCATGTACCTGATGTTAGGAAGAATTTAATTTCTGCAAGTTTATTAAGTAAGAAAGGCCTCAAAACTGTTATAGAGGCAGAAGAGATTATTTTCTCTAAGAATGGTGTATTTGTAGGACAAGGCTACTCTTGTGAGGGCATGTTCAAATTAAGTATTAATAAAGTTGAAGTTTCTGCTTATATGATTGAGTCATCTATTAATTTATGGCATGCTAGACTTTCACATGTTAAGTTTCGATATATTAAGTTTATGTCTAAAAATAAATTAATTCCTGCTGTTGAGAATAATGATAAAAAATGTGAAATATGCATACAAGCTAAGATGACTAAGAAATCGTTTCCAAAGAATGAAAGAACAAGTAATGTACTTGAACTTGTGCATTCCGATATATGTGAATTGAACGGTCATTTAACTAGAGGTGGAAATAGATACTTTATTACTTTTATAGATGATCATTCTAGATATACACATGTTTACCTAGTGAAAACAAAAGATCAAGCATTTGATATGTTTAGAAGTTACAAAGCATTAGTTGAAAATCAATTGGAAAAGAAGATTAAAATCCTACGTAGTGATCGAGGAGGCGTATATCTTTCCAATGAATTTTCTGACAAAATAGTTTGATTCACCAAGTTAGTGCACCGTATACCCCGCAACAAAATGGTCTTGCTGAAAGAAAAAATAGAACGTTGGTAGATATGGTTAATGCCATGCTTTTACATGCAAAGTTACCAACGAATTTGTGGGGGGAAGCTTTGTTAACGGCTTGTTTTGTGCATAATAGAGTTCCTTCAAAGAATTTTAAGGTTTCACCATATGAATTATGGAAAAGAAGAAAGCCTCACTTAAATTTCTTAAGGGTATGGGGATGTTTAGCCTATTATAGAATTCCAGATTCTAAAAGGACTAAGTTAGGACCTAGAGGAATTAAAAGCATATTTGTAGGATATGCTGAGAACTCAAAGGCATACAGATTATTGGACATTGAGTCTAAGCATATTGTGGAATCTAAAGATGTTGAGTTCTTGGAAATAAAGTTTATTGGTGATTCTAATAATTCACATGAGGATACAGAAATTACTAAACAAGATGGTAATGCAACAAGCATTGGGGATAATGCAGTAACTCNGTGCAGAACCTAGTTCTTCTTCTAACAATTAAAGAAAGGCAATTGAATCTCCTGTAGAACCAAGAAAAAGTCAAAGAGTTATAAAAAAAAATATAGGTTCTGATTTTATTTCTTCTCAAGCACTAGTCTTTTGGGTAGAAGGAAGTAGAGATGAAGTATTAAATAAAAACCCATTATTTTAAATTTAGAAGAGGATCCTAAAACCTATAGTGAGGCTATGGCTTCGCGGGATTCTTCTTTCTGGAAAGAAGCTGTAAATGATGAAATGGATTCCGTTTTATCAAATGGTACATGGGTATTGGCAGATTTACCTTCTAATACTAAACCTATTGGGTGTAAATGGATTTTTAGAAGAAAATACAATATCGATGGTTCTCTACAAACATTTAAAGCTAGACTAGCAGCCAAGGGATTTAGACAAAAGGCAGGAGAAAATTATTTTGACACATATGCTCCTGTGGCCAGGATTACCTCAATAAGAGTATTGTTTGCTTTGGCATTAATATATAATCTAAATGTCCATCAAATGGATGTTAAGACGGCATTCTTAAATGGTGATCTTGATGAAGAAGTTTATATGGAGCAACCCGAAGGGTTTGTGCTTCCTGGATATGAGAAGAAAGTTTGTAAATTAGTTAAGTCCTTGTATGGATTAAAATAAGCTCCAAAATAATGGCATGAAAAATTTGATAGTGTTATATTATCAAATGGTTTTAAACATAACGGAGCAGATAAATGCATTTATTTCAAATTCACAAAGGACTATGGAGTGATAGTACGTCTTTATGTTGATGACATGCTAATCATAGGAACTAACATGCAAGGTTTAACTTCTCAATTTAAAATGAAAGATTTGGGAGAAGTTGATACTATCTTAGGTGTTAAAGTTAAAAGACATAGTGGGGGGTTTTGTCTTATGTCAATCTCACTATATTGACAAGGTTCTTTCCAAATTTAATCATTTGGGTATTAAAGAATTTAATACTCCATTTGATGCTTCTAGCAAGATGGTTGAGAACCCCGAAGGATCTGTTAGTCAATTCGACTATGCTAGTGCAATTGGTAGTTTAATGTATACTATGCACTGTACTAGGCCAGACATTGCCTTTGCAGTTTGTAAATTGTCAAGATATACTCACAATCCAAGTGGTGATCACTGGAAAGGTATAGTGATGGTACTTGGTTATCTAAAAAGGACAAAAACTTTTGCCTTGTATTGTAGCAGATTTCCTTCAGTGTTAGAAGGATATTGTGATGCTAGTTGGACAACTAGTGTTGGTGATAACAAGTCAACGTCTGGGTGGATATTCACTTTAGGTGGAGGAGCAATTTCATGTGCTTATAAGAAACAGACGTGTATTACTCATTCCACAATGGAATATGAGTTTATTGCTTTAGCAGCTGCAGGAAGAGAGGCAGAATGGCTGAGAAATCTATTATTAGATATAAAGTTATGGCCACAACCAATGCCAGCTGTTCTCTTGCACTGTGATAGTGAAACAACTATGCCTAAAGAATTTAGCAAAATATACAATGAAAAATCTAGACATATTGCTTTAAGACATGAGTACATAAGACAATTAATTTCGAATGAAATTATTACTGTTGTGTACATCAAGTCTAAAGACAACCTTGCTGACCCATTCACTAAAGGACTCGCGAGGGATATGATAATAAGCACAACAAGTGCTATGGGTCTAAGGTAATTTAAATTTGTCACTAGTAACGGAAACCTTACTTTTCTTATTGTTTAACAATATTAAAGGTTTAAAAGGTAATAACAAGTTATAGTTGTGACGGATAGCAGGTACTGAAAATTAGTACCTAGAAAAGGAGGATGAGTATAAAATACTCTTAATGAAGAAGCAGAGTTCGGTTTAGGAACTAAAGAAGTCCGTGTTAAGGATTTGGTTAAATCTTCACCTATGTAAACACAAGAGGTGGTGTCGCTTCAATCAAAGTTTGGAACACAAAACTTGATAAGTGTCTATGAATTCAGGAAGTAGCACAAGGCCATAATCGGGTGCTAAAACTCACGGTGAACAAGTAGTCGAGTTGGTACGATTTATGTGTATAAAGCTTTTCCGTCTTGTCATATAGGAATTGTGGTTTAATAGAACTTAATCTAACCATCAAATTCGACAAGGTCTTGAATAGTTTATACAAGTAGTAGGTTTAAATCGAAAGATACCTACTATACGCATTAATCTTATAAACAACATCAATCACTAACTAAGTGAGGGATTGTTATATTAGTTAGTGTTTTGATGGGAGTATTTGAGAAGAGGTTGTTTTGTCCCTTATTGAAAAAAGAAAGAAAGGAAGAAGTGTTTAAAAGCACTTCGTCTTACATGATTTGAATATTTTAAAGATGTTTTGGAGGGAAACTAGAATTTGGCTATATTATTAATAGTCAAGATTGGACATTTGAAGACTTGGGCCACTTGCGCCTTGGGCCAATTAAGTAGCCCGAATTAATATTTTAGTCACCCATTATTTGATTAATTAAAAACGTTTTAGCCTTTAATTTCAGAAAACGTTTTTTAACAATATTTTTTTTAAATTCAAAAAAAGGTGACTATTGGTTTAAAAGTGCCTGTTATGAAGAGATGAGTCTGTTAATTCCAACAGACTCCTAGAGGTATTATAAATACCTATATCATCTCCAAAACGAAATCATTTGAAACTTTCATCTCTTTCTCTTCTACTTATTTTCTACAACTCACCAAGATTAACGGCATGTGATTAATAATTATCACAACGCCACGCCTCTAAGGTGGTGCACATTTGTTTTCTAATATTTTTCTTTTGTGTGTTTGAGTTACAATTGCTATAAAGTTCACCCGAATCAACCTCGCCGTAGAGTAGAAGAAGAATACGTCGTTTTGCTTTGAGTTCCTTTTATGTGGTCATAAATTACGAGTGTCGTTCTACGAATTGGTATGCTCTTTGGATTACTTCAAAAGGTCAGTAGTCTTATTTCAATTAAAGGTTTCTCCATCTGATTGCTATGTCTTTACTACCTGATCGATTCTTTGTATGAGCGCCCTATGTGTCTTTACTTGATATCGCCCTGAACCATGTGTCCTTTATGTGAATTATGTATATGGATAGGTGAATAAATAAGATTGTCTGCTCTAAGTATATTTTTATTATTAATTAATCTTAGTAACTTTTGAAACACTGATTTGGATTCCTTGAAGGGTAGAATAAGGGCTTCACTTAGATTATGAATTATCTCCATTGCACATAATAAAAATAAAACACAAAGGGTAGAATAAGGGACTCCCTGTTACTCTAACCCCTCTGGGTTATACTCTAAAGTCTTGTCATCAGACCTTGTACTACCTGAACATTTGGCAGGCTCTATAGCAGGCATTATCTCCATCATCATTGTCCTCCTTGGACTCCGTCCCTGTCGTAGCTACGGCCTCAGCAGCTCGCTTAATAGCTAGCGGTCCATCAACCTCTTCACTATCACCAATATCAGCAAGAGGGGATCCAGGAACCGTGTTCTCATCCTCAGATGAGTGAAGTGGACTGGTAGGTGCAAGTTCCAATATCTCCTTTGTTGCGCCTGATAGGGGGTACTCTGTAAGCAGCTGCAACCTCTCTTCCTCTATCACCCCAACATGCTGCATGATCAAGTTCAACATGTCATAAATATGGCGATTAAATTTCTTACCCTTCGCATCTTTTGCAGTAGTACTCAGCTTCTTTGTTCTTTCCGCCAATGATGTGATGTCCAAGAGACCCCTCGGAGCTGGCTCAATATCATCATAGTTCCTTATAAAGTATGTCTCAGGACAACATGTATTTTGTCAGAATATTTCCAAAGAAGAACCTCTTGGTCTTGTGTCCAAACTTGGTGCAAGCTATTTCATTAAGCATAAGCTGCCCAATATTGACAGGTTTCCTTATCAGAAAATATATCAAACACAAACATGATCGGCGTACACTATGAGGCGTGGTCGCCTGACATAATGCGGGTATGGAAAAAGTTTTGCCAAACTTGAGCTGGCTTGCAGAAGTTTTTTCGGATCATCTCAAGATACTTCCTCCCTAAAGTGCGGGTCCACTTAGCATTGGAATTCACTCCGCAAAGTGTATGATGGATGGCAGGGTAGGTAGGACCGCGGATGAACTTTTGGAGAATCCTTGTGTCATAATTGTCAATCCTTAAGTAGTTGCACAGATCCTCTCTTGATAGGTAGACATTTTTCCCTAGCAAATCAGCATGGTCATTATTGCAATTCCAGTTTGCATACAGTTCATGTACCATGCTCAAGTTGGCATGGCCAGGTGACTTCAATAAGAGATCTAGCTTCACTATCTTTATTTGTGCCAAGAGCCCAGAATAATCCTTTTCTAGAGTACCTTTATTGATACCTCACTCAAAGATGTACCTGTCATGTGGCTCGAAGCTATGGTACCAGCCCTTGTGTCAGCACTATTAAATCCCATAGTCGGACGAGGCCTCTTTGGTGGTCTAGCTGAGCTCCAGCCACTTGTTTTCCCTTAGATTATTTGCTCGAAGTAGCCTCACTATGAGTAGATTTCTACGTTCAACGTGCAGCAGCAAAAATCTTTGTAGTAGCCTGGGACTTACCTTGCTTTTCACGAGCCATTGTACCTAAACCAACAAAAGGAATGCAACACATTAGATATATATCATAAGATCGACGAAAGCCAAAAGTTAGGGTTGGAATGACCTTACACTTAAGACTTAAGAATATGTGTCATTGAAGAATCAACAGTCTAACAACACAATTTTCTATCTATAGGCTAATGTCAAGTGCGTTGGATACTCAAGACTTTTCGTTTTCAACCAAACAAGATTTGCACATAGCATATAATATTGTAGCACACGAACGACACACTTGATCATAGCACGAGCAATAATAAAGTGATCATGACATGCTTAGGCCCTTAGTCGATACTAAAATATTAATATACACTATGAATCACCTAAAAAAATTCTAAAACTGATCAAAAGACATAAAACAGTACAATCATAGGCAGGCGAGTAGTCAGCACAGTCTCTGTGAGCGACACTCGTGCATGTACGCATGGCATTCGTGCAATAGTCGCTTGTGGCATGACATTATGTGAAGTAGGAAACACAACATTGGTGCATTGACAAATCACGCTCTAGCACCCTACACTTATTTCTAAGCATATTCGCTCGACTACTCAAACTTCACAAGCGAGCAAATTTACCTTATAAACATTTATCGAACACTTGGCGTGCATAGAACTTCGTTCAAGGTATTCAAAAAATGGATCAATCTGATTACCTTCCCAAAACTAAAAATGTGATGGGAACTGTATTTTAGCATCTCGTATTAGGTCATTAGCACATTCTCAACACACCAAATTCACAAAATTCACGGAGGGAATCAAGCACCAATTCACTTCAACCTAAAGGGGTTAAGAAGGGGTTCGATAGTCATGGGGGGAAGAGAGAGAACGAGGGGGATGAAGGGAGAAAGAAAAGGGATTAGAAGAAGAAAAAGAAGATAATGAGAAAGAAGAGGGCTTACCTAGTTGCTGGACGTATGGGTAAGGATGGTCGTGATGCAAAAGAGAAATGGCCTCAGCTTGCGTGACGTGTACGGGCTGCCTAAAGAGTTGTACCTCGCCGTTAGGAGTTAGTTATTGGCTGATAAGTTGTAAGTTGTTTAGCGAACAGTTTAGTCCCTATAAGTTTCTTAAAGTAAGTTTAGTTAATTGTAATTAGACCCATAGATTTATCTTTAATTGACACTTATAGTCCCTGTCAGAGGTAGTTACGGGATTTTGTTTTGTAGTGAGTAGTGGAACCTATATGTAATGCTCAAGGAGCTGCAGATGGGATTATCAATTGGAAAATCCTTTATTTTACCCTAGTTTTATCTCTTAGCTTCTTTTTCCTTTTCTTCTACTGTTACATTGACATCGCCGGCATCAGTGGTATCAGAGCACTCGTCTGGGCTCTGTGAGAAACCATGGCGGGAGAATCTACCGAGGTCATGGAGATGCTACACAAGATGGCTGCAGATCTATCTAGCTTCACAGTTCGGCAAGACCAGCTCGAAGCTTTTCAAGTGCAGACCTGCAAAAGTCAAGAAGAAGCTGTCAATGACTTGAGAGAAGTGCTGAATGAGGTTATACATGGCAGCAGAAGACTGAACGAGGCAAAGACACTGACCCACGAGGAGGTGAGTTGTATTCTCCTAGAGACCTTCCTCTCAGTATAGGAGATATGGCAACTCCCAATTCCATGGGAGGAACTTGTTCAGCTTCTTCAAGTGTTTCCCTTCCTGGCAGTACGCCAACTCCAGACCTTGTGGCTCCTGCTCGAAATGTTACAATGGGGGTGAGTTGGGCCTCTTTTGGACCTTTGAACCAAACTCAATTGAACCCTAGCTTACAGAACCCCAATACTGTCATAAGAACCCAGCCTGCTATGGTGTACACTCAAGGACCTTCAGTTCCCTACTCTCCTCAACCCAGAAATCAACCAGCTCCACCTTATCTCCCACGTGAAGCCCACAGAAATCATTATACCCAACCTTACCAGCAGGCCAACACCCCTAGTTGAGTTCAATACCCTTACAATCCCTATAATCAGCCATCACCTTACCCCTTAGCCTACCAAGTACCCAATACTCATGTAACCCCACCTATATACCATCAAGTTCCTTATGAACCAGCTCATAATTTACAGCAGAACACACCTAGAAATAACTCCTTGTCATAAACTGATAAAGACTGGTGCTGAGTAGCTAGACCTTTACTGAGGTAGGCAATTGGGTTGACCTTGCTGCATTAACACAACTCCAATACCTACATTACAGGCATCAGTTTCAACTACAAATGTCAAAGAGAAGTTAGGCAGGGCTAGCACAGGTGCTGTAGTTAAGGCCAATTTCAGCTCATCAAAGGCTTCCCCTGCCCTCTTGGTCCAGTTGAAACCATCTTTTATGAGGAGATCAGTAAGGGGTTTGCTAATGACCCCATATCCTTGTATAAACCTCCTGTAGTACCCTGCCAACCCCAAAAATCCTCTAAGTTGGGTCACAGTTTTGGGTTCAGGCCAATTCTTCACAGCCTCTACCTTTCTAGGGTCAGTTGAGACCCCTTGTGAAGATATGTAGTGACCCAAGTAATCCACTCTTTCTGCCCCAAACACACATTTGCTCTTCTTTGCCAACAACTGATGTTGTACCAATAATTCAAAGGCAACTTTGAGATGTTGTACATGTTCCTCCAAACTTTTGCGATAAATCAAAATGTCATCAAAGAACACCAGAATGAACTTCCTCAAGTGTGCTTGGAAGATGTGATTCATTAACCCTTGGAAACTTGAAGGAGCATTGGTTATCCCAAAAGGCATAACTAGATATTCATAGTGCCTAGAATGTGTTCTAAAGGCAGTCTTGGCTACATCTTCAGGTGCCATTCTGATTTGATGGTATCCTGCTCTGAGATCTATTTTAGAGTATACCTGAGAACTACCTAATTCATCCAGCAACTCCTCAATAATAGGGATAGGGAATTTGTCCTTGACAGTCATTTTGTTCAAGGCTCTATAGTCCACACACATCCTCCATGTTCCATCTTTTTTTCCCACTAATACCACAAGTGAGGCATAAGAGCTTGAACCGTGTTGTATTATCCCTTGTTCTAACTTTTCCTGCACCAGTTTCTCTATGACATCCTTCTGTATAGGGGAGTATCTATAAGGTCTAGCATTGGTTGGGGAGGTACCCTCTAATAAAGGTATGTGATGATCAAACACACCTCTAAAGGGGGCAGTTGAGTGGAGTACTTGGGTCACTACACATCTTCACAAGGGGTCTCAACTGACCCCTAGAAAGGTAGAGGCTGTGAAGAATTGGCCTGAACCCAAAACTGTGACCCAACTTAGAGGATTTTTGGGTTTGGCAGGGTACTACAGGAGGTTTATATAGGGGTGTGCATTCGAATCGGTTTATCGACAAATCGAATCGATTATTTGTTATCGAAATGGAAGTCGAAAAAATCGAAACCTTATTGAAACGATAACGATAAGCATATGTACAAATCGATAATCGATAAGTAATTATCGATAAGGGTCAAAATCTACGAAATCAAAATCGAATCGATAAATCGAAAGCACACCCCTAGACTGTAGACACTTGTTAAATGAGTAATTACCTATTTGTGTAGATTAATATAACATACAGAATGTATATATATTCCGCTACTATTTTGAAAGCGGTTATACAATATTATTTTCCCTAATCTATACCTTTTCCTTTACCCTAAGTCCCTTACCCTATTATTTCCTCTACTACATTTAAGGAATGATCATATTTAAAGATCAAGGGAATGAAGTTCAAATTAATGGAAAACAGAATTAGCCGTGATGATGTGTTTTGTTTTGTTTTGTTTTTTTATACCGTTGGAGTGTTGGTGGCATACATTTGATCCCTTACTTCAGTTTTGTTGCATGTGCTTGTTGACACAACTTTTATATTATAAATTGTGTTCGTCTTATTTTAGCTTCTTTTTGTCCATATTAGTTAGGCGCGTTTATAACGATATACTTTCCGTGGACTCCCGCAAATTTTCTTATTGGTGTAATCGATAACCGAATCGTTAAGCCCCCAAAATCGATAAATCGAAATCGAAAAAATCGAAACCTTATTGAAACGATAACGATAAGCATATGTACAAATCGATAATCGATAAGTAATTATCGATAAGGGTCAAAATCGAATCGATAAATCGAATGCACACCCCTAGGTTTATACAAGGATATGGGGTCATTAGCAAACCCCTTACTGATCTCCTCAGAAAAGATGGTTTCAACTGGACCAAGAGGGCAGAGGAAGCCTTTGATAAGCTGAAATTGGCCTTAACTACAACACCTGTGCTAGCCCTGCCTAACTTCTCTTTGACATTTGTAGTTGAAACTGATGCCTGTAATGTAGGTATTGGAGTTGTGTTAATGCAGCAAGATTAACCCATTGCCTGCCTCAGTAAAGGTCTAGCTACTCAGCACCAGTCTTTATCAGTTTATGACAAGGAGTTGTTAGCCTTGGTCATGGCAGTGAACAAGTGGTCTCAATACTTAACAGTGAAACCCTTCATTGTTAAAACAGACCAGAAGGATCTTAAGTTCTTGTTGGAGCAGAAGTTGCACACAGGCAATCAGTTGAAATGGATAACTAAATTGATGCAGTATGACTTTGAGATTGAGTACAAAAAGGGAAAGGAAAACAAGGCTGCAGATGCACTCTCCAGGCTTCCCCTAGTGGAGCTGTCAGCCATGACACTATCAACTGTAAGAACTGATTTGTTGGAAGCAATTATGAAAAGCTGGGAGTTAGATGAGGAACTAAAGTCAACAATCCAGGTCCTTAAGGATAGAGGTTCCCATGATAAGGGGTACACATTCATACATGGGCAACTTAGGAAGAATGGAAAACTGGTGGTAGGACCTGACCTACCACTAAGGAAAGAGATCTTACAGTTGTGGCACAGTTTTACAATTGGAGGGCACTCAGGAATGGACAACACTTACAGGAGGATGTCTTCTCTATTCTACTGGAAAGGAATGAAAGAGGAAATTCAGGAACTTGTGAAGGGGTGTGATGCATGTCAAAGGCACAAATATGACAATGCCCCTTACCCAGGGTTGCTGCAGCCCTTGAAAATACTTGTTGCAGCCTGTAGCAGCATAAGTATGGACTTCATAGAGGGACTACCTAAGTCTCAAGGAAAATCAGTCATTTGGGTAATAGTGGACAGACTCACAAAGTATACTCATTTTATATGGTTGTCTCACCCTTACTCTGCCAATGAGCTGGCCAAAATCTTCATGGAGCAAGTTTATAAACTGCATAGGCTACCAGAAGACATTGTCGGTGATAGAGACCCTATCTTTACAAGCAAGCTGTGGCAAGAATTGTTTGCCATGTTAGGGGTGAGCCTTAACACTTTCACAGCTTACCACCCTCAAACAGACGGCCAGACTGAGGTAGTTAACAAATGTGTGGAGACTTACTTGAGATGTTTCTGCTCAGATTCTCAAAAGGATTAGATGCATTATCTAGGGGCAGCTGAATGGTGGTACAACACCACCTTTCATTCTGCCATTCAATGTACCCCCTATGAAGCTTTATATGGTCAACCTCCCCCTTTACACTTACCTTATGCTGCTGGAGATTCAAGTATGGAGGAAGTAGATAGAAGTTTGCTCACTACAGAGTTCAAGGTACAGGCGATGGAAAATCAAGCAAACAAACATAGGTCAGACAGGCAATTCAAAGAGGGTGATTGGGTCTATGTCAAAATCCAACCATATAGGCAGATCACCATGTCAGGAGGGCACTTTTCTAAGCTATCAGCTAAGTATTACGGGCCCTATCAAGTACTATAAAAGATAGGGAATGTTGCCTATAAGCTGTCCATTCCTTCTTAACTATTGCTCCACCCAACCTTTCATGTGTCCCAACTGAAGAAATGTTATGAGTTACCAAAA